CATTGAACAAAATGAGGGTTATCAGTAGTGAAATCTCCGACAGCAGTGGGCTACACGTTCTCACTCACACAGGAGCTGCCAGCATCCCCTTTAAGCCCTCATGCTGCACTGTTGCCACGCATATATGCACCTCAGTATTCCCTTCATTTGGTTTACATTGACTTGATTTTTGAGTGTTGTGCAGTCAGTGTATATGGAGTGACAGACGGGTAACGGGGAGAAAATACAATAATCATGAGCATATTTCAAAGGCCACACAGTCTTACAAAGTTTCTCCTGTTGCAGTCCCTGGTCTACTGGGTCTAGACTCCCTCTGGAAATCCTATATACTAAAAGCCTAATATGCAAATTGACCGAATGGCACAACGACTGGCAGAATGACTGGTCGCTATGACGTGCACTGACTACCAGGGGTCAGGCGCTCAATGCAAGAGCTGCCCCCAGCCTGCAGCTCCCAGGGTGGCCCAGGCAGGTGCCGGTAGGGGTCCCCTGGTCACCCTGCGTGTTGCCCCACTTGGCCCTGATTGCTGGCCAGGCCTGGCGACCCTATTCGTGCATGAATTTCTTGCACCAGGCCTCTAGTTAAAAATGAATATATCTGATCATTGGCCTTACCACCCACCCCTACCCTCCTCTTAGTTTGATTTTGCTTGTAGAAGTTCTTTACATGTAATCAGGGTGGGACAATAAGTGACTCCTCTGGACTCGGCCTTTCTGAGGGCTTCTGAACTGGCAGCAACTATTTTTATCAGGTTTGTCCACAGGGACATGTGCTAAATTACTAGGAATACTAAATTGTCTATACCAGCAGTCAGCAAACTGCAGCTTGCGAGCCACATGCGGCTCTTTGGCCCCTTGAGTGTGGCTCTTCCACAAAATACCACATGCAGGTGCGCACGTACAGTGCGATTGAAACTTCGTGGCCCATGCACAGACGTCGGTATTTTGTGGAAGGGCCACACTCAAGGGGCCAAAGAGCCGCAGTTTGCCGACCACTACTCTAGCCCTACATCCCTG